TACTTCCATGATTGCTTCTGTTTTGTTTTCTTTACACCTGGGACTGGAGTTGTTTACTAACATGGGTTCCAGTTCAGTAGAGATTTCTTAATTGTATGGCTTTATTGAATGAATGTTTAAATTATTTAAACTAGAAAACAAAGGCAGTGCTTGGCTGTTTTTCTGTACATAATTGAAAATGCCCATTTTCCTGTCTAGGTTAAGTGTGAGTGAGGGAAGTGAATTAAAAGGAATTAGAATGTGGAGGGACTTTAAAGGAATCTGCAGGAAAACCCCTCTGCAAGGGTAGGTAGTTTTGCTGTTTATCTTCTGGATGCTTTATTTTGAAGGGTGTATTGTAAAGCTTCAGAATATCCTTCATAAATAAGTGTTTTTACTTGAAAATTATCATTCCTTTCATATTCTGATTTAGTACCTTCAGAATAGGAATGAACTCTGGGAGAAACAGAAATAAGCATACATTATAACACAGTATTACCCAGCGGCCCAGCATTACGTAGGGCTGCATTTATTATGCTCTGTGTACACAGTAGCTGGAAAACGATGCATGTTTTCCCGTGGAACAATTCTGCATAAGCCAATTGGATCAGCTCTGTTGTGCTTTGAAGATACCAGTCCCACATCTGCATGTTGAATGCTAATAACATCTGAAGATAGGTTTTTTTTCATATCATTTTTCCAACCTCCTAAAAGAGGCAAGTGGTTGTCAGCCTGCACAGGTGATTACAATACATCTTATTAGACAGTCCTGCCCTAACAGGTAGCAGTGGCACACCTGGAAGTGAGAAACACCTGAAATGAACATTAAATTAAAAAAATACTAATACAGTATTTGTCTTCTGCTTCAAACGTTGGACCAGATAATAGGTTTCTTTCAACTGACCTCTAGTATGGAATGTGTTGTTTTTTCTGCAAATGGAAATGAACTCATAAGGATATTAGCAAGTGCAGGTAAGAGGCCTTGTCCTCAAATGCTGGTTTGATGATGTTTTTTATTATGCCTGACAAGTCAGTACCTGTGCTGCTCTTCCTACTCACAGTTGTGTCTGGAACGGAGGCTTCAGTGTCCTGTCACAAGTGAAGATCTCTTCAAGGACAGATCTTCCCCAGTGCAAGGCTTATAGAAACTTACATACTTCCAAATCAAAGTCAGATGTATGCCCCTGAAGTCAAGCTTTTCAAATAGAGAACTTTCTCTGGCTTTTATTGATTTAATAACTACTCTGTACTTTGAAGACTGTGTGACCAAGTTCTGTCTAAAAACAGCAAGTGGGACAATTCTGTACATGTAAAAATGCCATTACTGTGCCTTTTTCTCTTACCTCTCGCAGGCTGAAGTCAACACAGTGTTGTTTTCCTGTGCTCATGTATTTTGTGGTAGCTGGAGAGGCCCAACATGTTGCTGGCAGGCTTCTTTTACATTACTGTATAGTAGATTAGCTGTGTGTGACAGCACATTGTCTCCTCCCTCTCTGGGACTGGAAACTTCAGGAGGAGGCTGTGTGATAACGTAGCATAGCATCCATGGTATTATTTACAAAGAAATTTGTATTTGAGTTTAGTGAAACAACGTACCTGTGTAAGCGAAGAGCTTGGTTGTGATTCTGCTACTGTTTGTCACCAGCATTCCTTTGTTAAAAACCCTGCTGTCTTAAAGAAGATGGTGCAGTTAAAGCATACAGACACTGCTGGATTTGCAAATTGGACAAGAATTTGTTCCTAGATATACAAATAGCACATGTTAATGAACACTAATTCATCTTTACACAAAAAAGTTTGAAAATCTGAGTCATCTCATGATGATCTCTCTTTAGGCTTTCGAGCCTAAATTCAAGTTACTGCTGGCAGTCAACAGATTATAAGATGTAGGGTGGTATGTGACTTGTATTCCAATAAGAAGTAACCAAGTTAGTTAGGTTTGCCTAAGTTTAGTACTTCATTTGGCCCTTGCAGTGTTGCTTTGCAAAGTGCATTCAATTTATATGATTTTGTAGAGAAATACAGATCCAGAATGCAGACAAGTCTACTTCTGAATAGAATTTGAAGAATGTTACAGGGTAGGTGGCAACTTCTATTTGAGGATGCAGTGACTTGGATGATAATGTAAAGCTGAAGAGCCACCAGAAGGAAGATCACTTTGAGTTGTGATTTGAGGGTAAGAGCAGAATGAGGGAGACCAACATCACTTTCTTCAGTCTTTTCATTAAGTTTGTGTTCTGTTTTGTGATGGATAGTGGTGAAAACAGTTGGAAGAGCCTCTGCTTGCTTCCAGCTTTCCTTGGGCCACTTTTCAGATTTGGATGCATTCATGCAAGTCTGCATGGCATGGAACTGAGTTAATCCAGGTCTGTAGAGAAGCAGAACATAGAACAACAAAATATCCCATGTTGGAAGTGTCCTACAAGGATCACTGAGTCCAACTCCTGGCTCTGTGCAGGACCACCCAAAAAACAAACCCCACTCTGTGCAGCTCCTTCTAGAACAGCTGTGGGAAGAACAAATTTAAATATATTCTTTTCCCTCTCCCATAGTAGTGGATCACATCTTCCCTCTTCTTTTCAGTTTAATTAGATCAGGAGTAGATAATCTGCTGGATGCAGTCCCTTACACCTGGTACTGTACAGGGGAAACTCCCCGTGTTCCAAGAGGATTACCACAAACTAGACTGTAGTGGCAGGAGGGCCCATAAACCTATGGCAGGGGCACTGAGGAGGAATTTTATCGTAAGTCTGGAATCTAGAAGAAATTTCCATTGAATTTCCATGCATACATAGTCTGTCACAATCTCTTATAAATAGGATGTGGAGCCCTGGCTTGCAATAACAAGCCAGTCATACATTGTAAGAACTACTGCTGGCATATCTTCTGTGTCACATCTTTAAAGTGTTTTAAAAAAAAAAAAAAAGCTTAATATCAGTCTAACACAATTCTCAATAGTATGCTTTAAAAACAAAAAATATTCTAGAGTCTATCTCCTTTTAACTTGCTGGCTCTGTCTGTATAAAGCAGACAGAATATTGCTGCTAGGGAAGGTATGGGTTTGTTACCTCTGTTGACATACTTTCAAGTGAAATGTTACTGCAGACAAAGCACTGTGAGGCTTTAGCTTGCTGGTGAAGGTAAAACCCAACCTTTAGCAGCCCAATTCCACTGGAGAAGGAACTGAGCTTTGTGAGCATACCTTCAGAAAGGAGAGTACTTCGTGAGTAATATGGTGAAGAGGCTCTGTCTTCTGTCCATCCCTTCTACAGAGCCCTGAGGAACATCCTTCCTCCCAGCAGGCTCCTTCTGACCAGAACTATCTCCAAGAGGGAGCACAGAAGCCCTTTCAAAAGCAGCTGCTGTTGGTTCCACGATGGCACATAGAAAGCCAGCCATATGCATAACCAGAGTCCACATGTCAACAACAAAAACCCATTAAAAAAAAAGTGAAATACCTTCCTTCCTTCACCCTCCCCTTAAAAAGAACATTGGGGCTCAATCTTTGGGTTCTCAACCTATGAATTCTAAATTTCATTCTAAGATGAGAATGGAGAAAATGAACAGAGGTGCTGGGAAAAGCATTGAGAAAAGCAGTTTCACTTATCTGATTCAGAAGCCTACAGTTACAGTGATCTGCAAGTGCACTGGAAGGGGGTACACCTTTTGATTTGTGACACCCAGATGTACTTATTTAGCTTTAACAGCTTGAATGAAAGAAGGTGACTTTCACTAAACAGCAGGGGAAGTAAGAACAAAACATGTCACGTCCTCAGCAAAAGTTTTATGTATTAGACAGTGTATTTCTTTTAGTTTAAAAAAATTCTAACACGCAGATGGGGGAAATAGGGCTGTCTCCTCAGCACCTGCACAATGCTTTGCTGACCCCATTAGCTGTTATTAGTTTGTAGAGAACATACACCAGTTTTACACCCAGCTACAGGGTATCCAAAGCAGCCTTAATCAGAGATTTCTCCAGCCTCTCGCAGAAGAGGTAGCTGGGTTTGCTCTGATTTTTAACAACCTGCATTATGGCCACACGTGCCTTCATGCCTGGGAAGTGCCACAGCCAGCGTAAAGCATCAGGGAGCAGTTTGACAGACAAACCTGCCACAAAGCTTCAGATTGAAACTGACCTCTTTAGTGCTGCAAGCATCGTTTGGAGATGCAGAACAGGAATAAAACTGACTCAATTGACTGGAAATAGAAAAGAGGGTTGGGCATCCCTGAAGCTTTAGGCATCCAACATCCCCCCTTTCAAATTTGGTGTGTTGGCTCCACTTCTAATACTGAATTGCTAATAAAATTAATTAGAAGCGTCATAAGTTGGTCACCCTCAGAGTATTTCTGCGTGAAGCAGCCATTAATTATTCTGATGAGAATTGTCTGCCTTTCTATTTATAGGCTGGCCGTGGGCAACGCTGACTGTTCTCAGCTTGCTGTACTGCTACGCTCACGTTGGCATCGAATGGGAGCATTCGTACGCTGTGACCCAGGAGTGACGCAGAGCCACGAGTCCTGGGCCAGCTTACAGGGTGGGGGCTTTTCTACACCGGACAACTCACCTGCAGGAGAACGTGCCAGGCCGCACCAATGTGCCAGAGCTAAAAGCTCATTATGCTCATTCTGGATTGTGAATTCAGTGATCTAAGCAGAAACACTGACGAACTACAGCACAGGGTGAAGAGACCTTATCAAGTGATTTGATTTATGTTGTTTTTGTAAAACAGTGACACTCATGTTTGCTGCCATTTTGACATACTGAAAAACTCTTTTTTTTCCTACACTGTACAATTCAGACAAACTCCAGTCTCTCAGCTGCTGTCCAGGGGCACCCAGGGCCATGCCCTGCACTTACATTACTCCGTGTCCAGCAGGATGCTCATCAGTTCTTTTTGATTGCTTTCTGATTTAAGGTAGAATATTGCTGATGTTCTCTCTGGTTGCAGTTTTTCCATCCATAAAGCACTTTTCTACCTACTTACTGTAGCAAAGTCTGCTTTTCTCAATTTCGTTTAAACTTTTTTTTGTAGTTTTAGGAATGTTTTTGTTTATTAAAAAGATGAAGCTAGGCCTTTTCTTGATAAATAAACCAACATCTTGTCTTTTTAATCTCACATGACCTTACAGCTCCTTGGTCTTTAAATGCTCTCTGCCTTGGGTTAGACTAAAACACAGAGTATTACCTTTGTGATGGAGCAAATCCCACTTGCACAGGAACTGTGGAGTTCGCCTCTTGTGCTTCTCTGCCATGAAAGGAGGTAACCCAGGGGCTGGCTGACAAGTCTGCTTCATTCTCTGTGAACAGGCACTCAGCTCCTGCAAAATTAAAGATGCACTAGCTTTAAAGCTTTTAAGAGCTTTAAAAATAACACAAAACTAAACAGAATTGTCCATTACAATGGCACTCAGTTAACCAGAGCTCTGTGTTCTTTATCCAGAGTGAGACCTGGTATGGCAGGTCTTTGCCAAAGCACGAGGCTGCCAAGAGGTGGAAAAGCTCTGCTTGCCATGGTTTGGAGCATCAACGCTGTGAGAGTGCTGTGGCATGCACTGTCTCCCAACAGGGAGGAGATCTTACCCATGTCTGGTATGAGGCACATCTCCCAGTCAGTTCCTTTTTAAATAGATATTGAAGAGCAACATGTCCTACAGTCATGTGGGCTACGCTTTCCTTTAGGCACAACAAAAGCCTCCAACCCCAAGGAGAGCTGTTGCTGAGAGCAGCTAACTGCTCCTGAAGCAACAAAACTGCTACATGACCTGTGCCCCCAGAAGCCATCTGAGCCATCTCAGTGTCCTGCTGTCCATTGCACATGCAGCTCTGGACTAGTCTGATCAAGATCATCCCTTCAACAAGAAACTGACACAGGCTTCAGCCTGGTGCCTGCATTTGAACAATGTCTCTCCTGCTCAGAAGTACAGCAGACGCTTCATTCATGCCTGAAGAAATAAGGGTAAAGGCTTCAGTTCCCTGCCCATCCAGACACTCAGCCCATCCCTCAGCCATCCTCAGCCCTTTATTTTTAGGGAAGGATTTTTACACCACACAAATGCAGTGTGAAATCCCTTTCTAGGAGATACCATTGAATATAAGGCTTACCATATATGCTGCCTCAGCAGAGGGATGTCTAGCATAAATCTAGACTGATTTATGGTAAGCAAACCCTTCCTCTTCTTCTGGAAGGGTGGGAAATTGGCCTCCATTTTGGAGTAGAACTGAGCTAAGACCAAGACCCTCCTGAAACGTTTTTCAAACTTTGTAATTAAGTGCAATTAGCATTGAATTGAAAAGTCATGAGTCTGTTCTTCAGCCTGATCGATTACCATTACTGCATGAAATGAGGGGCTACTAAGTGATGAGATTCCAATTTGTTTGCAATATGCTCTACTCCAATATGAAAATGGCCATGAAGGTCATCCAGACTGTGCTTCTTTCTGAACCACAATTGTTTTTTTAGTATTCTTTTTCTCAGTGCTTTGTAATGTTTCCTATTTTTGTATTCTCTCTCCAAAAATAAAGCTCAAACTGACAGTTGGCTTGAGAACTGTATCTTTGGAATCTACAGGTTTGGTGTAAGAAACCTAAGTGCTTCACTGCCATTTAGAAACACTCCTATGCACTGGAAGCCTGCAGCGTGTGCAGTGCAAACTGCCCATGTTTCTCTCTCTCACGCACATATGGAACGCAATCCCTGATGGAACAAGTTTAAAAAAAAAACCAAAACAAAACACAAATACACTTACAGATTAGCTAAGGTGACACACAAAGCTTCTTGTGAATGGCCACCAAGAGAGAGATTCAAGCAAAATGACCGCTTCCCACAGCTGCCATCCTGGCCCACAGTCAGAAGCATGAAGTACTGTTAGCAACATTTAAGAAATAGATACTACTTCTCATAGTTCACATACGTATCATAAAAGATATAGATTTCCATCACTCCCATCTTTCCAGAGGTTCTCTTTCCTGCTACTCTGAAATATTTTAAGAAAAAAAGTCCACTCACAAAGTTTCTGATCCACCCTCCTTGCAGAGTGCTGGTAGGCAAGGCATGGGGCTCTGTGAAGGATGCCTGAAGTGCTTCAAATGCACGCAGTCAGCTGTACCTGCAGCTTGGAGACGCTCCTCATGTGACCTGGGCCAAAAGTGCCATCCTCCAGGCAAATCCTCTGCGACGGTCCTAGTGAGGTGTAGGTGGCATAGCCTGCAACCAGACATAAGGACCTCAGTTACCCAAGGAAAAAAGCAGGTTGATAGGAAGAGATGATTTCCAGATGCTAAGGAAAAGCTGGCTAAGGGCCCTAGGAAACAGTGGACAGAGACAAATTTCCAAAGTCAGAATTGGCTGTTTTGAACCAAAGGAGAGGCAACTGCAGTCCGGAGAATGGGGCACTGCTGCTGGTGGCCCCCAGAGGCACAGGACATCTCTGACTGAGAACAAAAGGTGGTGGCTGGGTAACAGCCAGGCCTGGAGGCCTCATGCCTACTGTCAAATCCAGTTTATAAGGGATGCTGAAAAGCACACCAGCCAGCCAGCACAGCACAGCACGCTTTAATACAGGGCTTTAAAAGCCACCAGGAAGCTGTAGCCATCCAGCCACACATGCACGTGTTCATCCCCTAACCCCCTGCTCAGTTATCAAAGCGCTCACAGCCATAATTATTACTGGGGATCGCTTACGCTAAGTGGCTCTTTCTTTAATTCTGCACTGACTGGAGGACAAGTGAGGCTTTGCTCACATATCCCTTTCACATCCCAGCGCTGAAAGCAGATTAGTTGGCATAACCAGCTTACCACAGGTCATAAGAAAAACAGCTTAACTATGGGAACCTGCAGCAATTTTCTTATTAGTCAGAGCAGCAGCACACCGCCTCCCACCTCCTGCATGCCTTCTTTGTTTTCTCCTAAGCTGCTGCAGCTCCCGCTGGCCGTGGGGAGCCAGACCTCCTTAGCACACCAGCACCATTTTCCTCCAGGAGCTGTATGAGTGAGGGGATTGCTATGCACCCTGCATCGCAGCCGCTGCCTGCGCTTCACCGTCCCCCCCTTGCAGAGCAGCTCTGCCTGGTAGCGCTGTGCAAAACACTCTCCCTGCCCATGGCCACTTGTTAGTCAAGTCATATATTTTAATGCAGGAGGAACAGCTGAAAGAGTGCTTTCCATACAGCCTGTGAAGCGTTCTGAGGCTGAGGTCTTTGAGGAATGAGGGACAACCTGCACAGCAGTAGATCTTTGCTTGTACTGAGAGCCCCCTGAGACTGCCCTGCTCATGGCCCTGCTGATCCCCTCAGACCAGGGCACTTGGGGCACTAAAAAGGAAAGGATGAAGCCAACTGCTCCACGTGAGTTTCCAGCAATCAGCAAACGCGATAGCATGATGCATGGCTCCTGCTAAGGGCTGCTGACACCAATATGTGACACAGTCACACACATGCATCAGCTGTGCCTGAACGCACTCCAGACCTTGGAGCATGTCAGCTCCATACATGAGTGGGTAGAGGATGCCACCTATGCCCAGAACAAAAGGAAAAGCAAAAGCCTAATGGATCTGACCCATATATTTCAGGTTCTGTGAAAGAGTCTGAGCCATATGGCCTCAAGGCCTGGCCTGCAGGCAGCCCAAGACTCTTCTCCACCACATCCCTCAGTGCCACAGTCCACATTTCTTAAACACCTCCAGGGACAATGACTCCACCACCTCCCTAGGCAGCCCATGCCAGTGCCTCACTGCTCTAAGAGGAAATGTTTCCTGATATCCAACCCAAACTTCCACTGGCACAACTTCAGGCCATTCTCTCTCATCTTATTGCTGTTACCCAGAAGAGGCCGACTCCTCACAGACCTAGCAGGCTACAACACTTTTCATCCTATTCGGGTCTAAGTATAAATAACCCAAAGTATTGGCATGCCAGCTCCTTTCAGAAAAGGGTCAGACAAAATGGGACTCCTGTAGCACATGGATTCATGAACAACACTCAGCACACAGAAACACATCGCTACCTGCAGGGATTTAAGAGCAGCTCTGCATACGGTTGGGCAGCTGAAGTGAATCACTGCTGACAGGTACGTCATCCAACCACTGAAAAATTAAAGCTTACTGAAGAAATAATGCAGAGACATGACTTTGGTTATGACCTGTGAAGTCTGAATTGTACCACCACTTCCTCTACAGATACTTTGTGACAGAATTAATTAACTGTTACGGACCACAGAACTGATAGCCCTGCGTTACTGCCTTGGAGCATCTAAATTACATGGCAAAAATAGAACAACTAGAAACACTAGAATATTTGAAGACCAGAAATGTCCACGTTGTTGATGAAGGAATTTAAAAGAAAAGTCCTTTGGAAAGAAGTGGCAGGTAACTTTTTCAGTCTGCTGCTGGAAGGGTTAAGGTTTCTCTAAGGATTTGGTCATATGGGACCATTACCTTAAAGTAATCAAAATTGTACAGAGATAAAAATACACATTTATGAGACAGTTGACTTTCAATGATGTTACTGCTAACTTATATTTCAGATTTCTTTCTTCTTGTGGTAGTTTTGTGCTGAGATGGCTAATAATTTGCTCCTTTTGTCACATCTCTGTTTCGGTCTACTGCTGCGATCCTCCCCCTGCCTCACGGCCCAGTATGGAGCCCCAGACTCCAACACCAGGCAGCAGCAGCACAACCCAGCTCAGCCAGGGCTCAGCATTCATGTTGAATGCTAACATGAAATGCAAAAGCACGGGGGAAGAGACTATGGGGAAAAACCAACTGCAGAAGTCGGAGACCCTTCAGCACAAGGGCCTCTGACTGCATCCCTTCTGGCCTGGAAGCAAAAGCAATGGTTCCAGGAACCTAATCACCCTGAAGCTCAAATCCTGTCAGCCAAGACATCCTTTCAACCGCACCTGACATGCCATCACTGGTGCTTCTGGCCAGCTTTTTGCAGCCTTCGCTCAGGTTATTTGTCAGAGTTCCTCACTCTGACCAAATCCTGCCAAATGCTGCCCATTGAACCTAAGACACCTAAAAATCTTCTTGAGCCCTGCTTTCCTTGAGTGGTTACGCCAATAATCACTGACACAAGAACAATTGCAGGTTAAGTACAAACTCTGACACATGAGGATCAGAAAGCGTGAAAATCATTCAAAATAGAATGTTGCTTCTCCCCACTCACCCACACGTGGTAGTCACCACTACCACCAGTCAAAAACTCTAAATGACACTGCTCATTGCTGCAGTGACAACAAACACGCACAATTCCTCACAACCCCACTCATAGGAAAGCTTTTTGGGGAAAGCATCATTGAGACTTCCCAATCATCACAGAATTCCACCAGGACTCCATTGTTTAATCACCAGAAGTTGCAAGCAAAGGGTATAATGATCCACATCCCCACTATCCCGAAAGCCTGCCCCTGAAGCCATCCATGTATGCTGTAGGGAATCTGGACACTCCACTCCACCAGGAAGCTGCATCAGCAGCTTAGAGGGCAGCTGCAGCCCATTACAACCTCCAGCCCAACTACCCCCCATGCAGACAGTCCTGCTTTCTCCAATCCCAGTGCTTTCCTTACATCAGCTGCTCTGCTCTTTCCCTGCCCCACTGATAGGTTTTAGAGGCTGCACTCTCACTCAATGCTCTTCTCTTTTTTCAGATGCTCCCCTGACACACAGCTAGATCTCCTCCACAACCCATTTTCCTGGACAAAGAAAATGAAGCACATTCAATCTGCCAGGAGAGGTACCCCCCATGCTATGCTTTTGCTACATTTTATGCTTCTTCCATATACTGCCACGACCTTCATTTCTCCTCACACCCAGTCACCGGCACAATGTCAGAGCAAACAGCCTCTCTAGCTGCTCCAAGCACCCGACTGCTTTATTTGCTGCTCACGAATGCAACATGACCACACCAATTTTGCAGAGCCATTTACAATTCTTGTAGCCTGAACTGTAATTTCATGCAGTGGTTCGCACACACTTTCTGCACACTTTCCTAATGGGTGCTTTTTTCAATTTAGCTTTCAGCTGAGCTGTTTCAGTTTCCATTTCTGTCTCCACGCTTCCTGTAGCCAGGTTCAATATGGCTGCGTGTGCAACATTACCACGCTGGAGGAAAACCAAACAAATAATTTATGTTGGCTTGAGGCTACATACAGATCAGCTTAACTCTCTTGACTATCCTTATGCCACAGCTGACAATTTTTGATAACCCTTCCTATTATCATTGTTTCTTTCTAAAATACCTTCTGCTTAACTGTAAAACTCAACAGAAAATTCACGGGGACAGAAACCAGCATGCCTCTCTCACTGTAAGGAAAACTGTGCAAGTGATGCAAGCAAATGAAGTTAAAAAATAATAAAATAAAAGGAACACAGCAGAGGACAAGAGCTGATCACGTCAGAAGTAAGCTCCCCAAGGCTGCTTCTGCACTCATTACCTATATCTCTATCAGGTGGGATTTCTAGGGGTAAAAGCTGAGGATTTGCCATTAACAAGTTCAGCTGTTTTGAAACTACACCTGTGCCATGGGATGACTGAAATTTTAATGTAGCCATGCTGCACAAGGACTCAAACTCAACTGTAATAAAGAAGGGAGAACAAGGATGGAAAAGGAAAGGCAATCTTAAAAGAAAAAAAATCTGTACAGCATATTGTGCACAAGCACCTTCCTGTTCTCCAGATCTCTGTTTCCCCCCCTCCCCCTTACTGTTCTTCAGGAATAGCACAAGTTATTTTCCCAGTCCCTCCATACCATCACACAGGTCACATACCCCTACACTAGGCACCCATTGCAACTAAACCCCTCACACCACTGGCAGAAACAAACACCATAGCAAGACTGCATCCTCCTCAGCCCAGTGGGACAAACAGCCCTACCTCAGAGGCAACTGCTCCTGCTGCCAAGGGAAGTGAGCACCACAGTGAGCACCATGAGGCCAAGAGATCTCTCTCTCCTGGCACAAAGTCCCTCCTGCTAGAGGTGGGCTGACAAAACCTTCACAAATTTCAACAAGAAGACTGCCATCCTGCACCTCAGAAGAACAGCCCTGTGTATCAGGACATGCTGGACACCCATCTGGAAAGCAGCCTGGCAGAAAAGACCTGGAGATCCCGGTGACCACAGAGCTGAACATGAACCATCAGTGTGCCTTGCCACTAAGGCAGGATAATGGTGTTCTTGGCTGCATTAGGCAAAACATTGCCAGCAGGTCAAGAGAAGTGCTCCCTCCTCTCTACTCAGCATTGGCAAGGCCACACCTCAGATACCACATCCAGTTCTGGGCCCAACAATACCAAACAGGTACAGACATATTGGAGAATTTAAGATATCTCCACTTACCTTTGATCAATGGACTGCAGCTCTTCCCCGATGAGGAAGGGACTGGGGCTGCTCAGCTGGGAGAGAAGGCTCAGAGGAACACCATCAGTACATCATCCATTGCTCCTAGAGGGAACGTGCAAACAGGACAGAGCCACGCTGTTCTCTCTGGTGCCCAGTGGCAGACAGTAGTTTCCTCTGAACAGCAGAAAGCACTTCAGGGCTTCGTAGGTCGCCAGAGCACTAGCACAAAACTGCCCAGAGACTGTGAAGCCTCCTCCTTGGAGACATTCAGAAGCTGCCTGGACAGGCTGCTCTGAATGTCTTCATGCAAGCAGGGGCTGGGCTACAAATATCCCAAGATCCCCACCAGCCTCAGCTGTGGTGCTGTGATTACACCCAGGTGCAGTGAACGAGGTACAGGGCTGGGCTGGGGCCCAGGCCTGCCCTGCTCAGCAGCTGTGCCCACCAGGCTGGGGCTGAGTCAGAAAGTGAACCTTCTCACTTGAACACACAGATTAGGGCAAAATTGCTTTCTGTGTTAAGTCAAGCTCACAATGCCACCAGGGAGGCTGCTGAGAATGCACGAGGAGCTTGAACAAAGAGTAAAACGGACAGTTCAGAGAATGGGAACAACAGCTTTTGCAGACCTCAAAATAAAAAGAAAATTAAAAGTACCTACCTTCACTCCAGAAATTTTCTCTGTTCTAGCAATTACAGGGAACGCATAATAACTAGACAAAATAAAGCAGAGACTTTCACATTGGTCAGTGAGCAATATCAACAACTGAAGGTCCTGTCAGAGCGCACTCTGCAGTGGATGCAGGAACGCTGGTAAAAAGAGCTCCTCCTTGAGCTCCTCGGCTGCTCCTGGTACAGTTTAGCCTCAGCTCTGCAGCCTGAAAGCTTAAGTCTTATTGCTGTCCTTTTGAAGATTAAGTTCCCAATCTCATGAAGCGTGAGGAGGCGACAGGCTAAGATCATGCTTTGGAGTATGAAGCACAAACACGGCTGCAAAGTTCATAGGCGGAAGTCCTGAAGAGTAAAACTTTACATTCATGTCCAGATCGGTTGCTGGCCTACAGGAGCAGTGATTTTAGTATGGATTTGCAGACAGCTGGTCCAGATTGGAGTCCACTGTGCTTCACAGAACACCTGAATCCACTTTACAGCAGCCCTGTACTTGTAAATCATGGTTGTACTGACTCACACAGAAGGTAGAATTCTGAGGAAACAACCTGAGCTGCTCACAAGTAAAATGGTAATATCAAACTTTTCTATCAACAGCGCTCTGGGTGCAGAACAGCAGCAACAAAATGGCAAGCCAGAATTCTAGAGACTAACTTAAAATCTCCTTGTTACTCTTAAAGTACATATTCAACCCATTAAAAAGCACACCAAAGCAATTATAATGTATAAAATAGTTTATTACTATAATAAATAAAATTAAACTTTTTTTTTTACAAATATTATTTGTGCTTGTTTAAAAATGTTTAACAGGGATATCATTAATGTAGGTGGCTGCATTTGTAACTGAAACATTCCAAAACAGTGTGTATGTGCACACACACTGTCTATCTACTGGCAGCTGCTTTGCTGACCACAAAAATAGTATCTACTCGTTCTCTTTGTCTGATCATGCTTCATTGAACAAAGTGACAAATGCAAAGAAAAAGAAACAGGAATATTTGGTGGATTTTGGAAAGGATAAAACCAAGTGAAATACATTTAAAAGCTCCAAAGCGACTGCAGTAACTGCATATCAATAAAGTGTCCATGCAGTGGTGGCTAAATACCGAAACGCAGACGGGTTTCCAACAGATGTACAAATATTGATTGTATGTAAGTACAATAATCTAACACATTCATTAGAAAACTCCATATTTCTTTATATAGCAGTTCATCCTGATACGAGATTATTGAATGTCTCTCATCTACAGCTAAAAGGATTCTTTTTCTATGTCAGTGGTCACACCTTCAGTGGGAGGAAAGGAAAAAGACATCCGCCTTTCAGAACAGCAAGTGAAAGCCCCAAACTGCTTTGCTGACATCAGGCATTTAAATCCAGTTATGGAGATGCTCTGGGATTACACATCAAATATGTTTGCACGACACTCAACAATCAGCTCGGAACAAATTACGGCTGCAGGTAAATTCACAGTAGCATTGTTGCACTGTAAAATAAAGTCTTCAAAACAAACACTTTTGTGATAGGTCGGGCTTGGATCCCCAATAACACAAAAGTGTTCACACAATAATTATGTCTGTTTTGGAAAGGGAGAGGACTATTGGAGTAATTTATTATCCTAATAAGAAGGCATTAAGTGGAGAAATAAGCGTGATTACCAACAAGTGATTTCCATTAGATTTAGAAAGCTAATCAAAGTGCTTTATCTTTAGGCAACATTGTAAATACTACAGAACATGAAGAAGGAAAGAGAATGGAATCACAGTTTGAAATGTTTCACTTATGAAAGGGTCTTAAGGCTAAATGTTGGCTATATCTTATTGCAAAAAGCATTATTTTTATTTAGTTGAATCAATGCTTGCCACAACAATGTGGTCAAAAGTATGTCAGATTAGTGGATACAGTAATCTACTGTACTATACCTCACATTTCTGGAGCTTCCCCTGCCCGGGTCTCTCTCTAAAAGGTTTCTGTTAATAAATCAGAAGTGCGGCTGAAACACAGACATTGTTATTGCCAATACACACACAGGAGACTACAGAGAAAGGAAGAATTAAGTAGATGCTCTTCACCACCTAAGACCAGGCCGAGAAAGCAGAAGTGCAGTGACCAAGTGTCATGTGAGAAGGACAGGCTCAGCACCTTGAGACAGCCCCCAGTGCCAGGAAAAAGAAACCCTCCTGTTCCACAGTCCCTCCTGCAGGAGAAGCCAGGAGAGGCAATACCAGGGCACCTTGGCTTCAGAGGTACTGTGAGCAAGCAAGAAACAGTGGCTTACAAGCTGTTTTCCCACCAGCTATGATACAGCATTTTTCCAATTTCACATACATTTCTGGTTCCTGACTAACAGCACCTGCCAGATCTCTCAGTCACAATATCAGCCAAACTAACTGTACGAAGCTGAGACTGCTAGAGAAACCAGAAGGTATGGCCTGAAAGTTCAACATTTAACAAACAAGATGCTAGCTAGCACATTCAGTGGGTAGCTAAGGGGAAGATTTTAGTTCCCTTCTTGAACTGTAATCATTAAGTGAAGGATGTGCTTTTACATAACAGAAATCAATCCATATTATCTATTGTCTATACACAGATACTATATATACGTGTGTATGTACACGCAACGGCACAAGCGTAGTCATACACATTGCTGTTTGTATAGCAAAGACAAATCGTAGTAAATTCTTTCACAGACTGTGATTGAAAAAATATCACCAGATATTCACAGTAAATATCTTGTTCAGTTCATTAAAGTGAAGTACTGTAGAAGCAGAACATCACCTTCGAAGCTGCTAAACAGGGTGTTCGCTGGGATTCAGAGCAGCACTGTGAAAGAGATTTAAAGCAAGAATGGTGTTTGTAAAAGTATACAGGTAATACCAGACAGAAGTCAATGTAGCTGAACATGGAAGGGATGAGGGTTGGTTTTTGCTTTTTAAATCCTGTGCTGCATATTGGTATTCTGGTTAAGTACGAACTTCTACAAGCTCCCTTTGTAACAACCCTGAGCCCCGCCTCTTCCTCTGAACTACCAGCTTTTGACTGAAATCTCATTCCACCATAGGGTAAAAATGGGACACAATCTCTTGTTCGTTAACACGGGTTGTTTAGCAGGTAGTTAAGTGGTAGAAGCACTGTGCCAGAACACAGAATGTAAACCGCTTCCTTGTTAAGGGGCAGAATCTCATGTTCAGAGGTCATCCATTTCTAAGATGAAAAATAATTTAAGTGAAAAGGCTTACCCAACACAAATAAAAGGAAAAGCTCACAAATAAAATGGAAGAATAAGTAACAATTACCGTGGATATGCGCACCACCCAGCCTTAGGCATCCAAGTTTAAGGCTCAATGGAGAAAGACAGATTTACAACATAGCTGCTTTCAGTCACTCCCTAAACAAATCTCTCTTCATCTGCTGAGCCTGGGCAATACACTACAGGTCCAAACTAGTCTGAGGGTCAAGGGAGTCCCATAGCAGACAAGGTTTCGCTTATTTACCACTAAGTAGCCCAGGGAATCCAAAGACCAAAGCTCATCCTAAATATTATATTTTTTCAGATTCCTTCACAATGCATAGTGGTTACTAAGGGATGATGCAGTCTTCTACAACTAGCTTTAGTACCTGCCAGTTCATGAAATCATAATAAAAATGGATCTGACTTGTTAGAGCTGTGCAAATCTCAGTGACATTGCCCACTTCAGTGCTGACCTGGAGCAGATGCCTTGAAGGTGTCATTGGAAGGAGTGCAAGTTCTTCTGGAGATTCATGACTGCAACAGAATCAAATTTGGCCATAATCTTCAGTGACATTACATTTTAAGTGTAATTCCAGAGTATATTACAATCTTTGAAAGCTATACGAGTGGATTATAACTGACTTTATAGGCTCTTAAAAAGGCCTCATAAAAGCCTTAAAAATGGACTCTGTGCTTCACCCAGCCCTGGCCATGGAGCACGTACCTGTATTCCAAACTGAACTAAACTTCAGGCTGCACTTGGAGTGCCCTCAGAAATGGGGACTTATGCTCCTTTACTCACCGAACCGCATGTGGTGATGCAAATAATTGTGAGGCTTCTAGGATTAACCCTGCCTTGACTCCAGGATTAGGCAATCAGCAACACCAGAAAAACCTTAAACATATCCCTGAGGACACATGAAAGATACCACTGAGAAACGTTAACATGGACACAGCAACAGAGGACTAGGTAATCTGCAACTGTGCATCTAATCCTACATCTGCACTGCAACACTGGAGACGTTAGGCACATACCTGGGGGGCAACAAACATTTCCCCTCTTATCTGGTCTGGGATAAGCTAATTTCCATGTTTATCAGACTGCAGGTAGCTGGCTGCCAGCTGAGTTCAGCAAGACTTCCAAACATGTTACAAAGGAAACACAACGCTGATGAGTAATTTGCCTGGATTAGAAAACTGGCACCAAGTGAACCGCTCAAACCCCTCTGCAACTCCGGGGCACTGATTACAAATACATGTATACTTGCAAACCTGTAGTTTATTTTTACCTAATTTCACTGCCCAATGAATTTACTGACCGAGGAGTTTGGAGAGGAAAACACGTAGTAATTCTAATCTGAAACTGCTGTTGTATGGATCCCTTATGGAAATGGCATAGCTATTGCAGGTAGCTGTTGCCATTCATACTGATTAAAGCACCAAACACACCGTGACTTTGGTCAAAAAAGCTCTCCTCAGTATGCCCCAGACATAACTGCAAAAGACACCAGCTTCCACTGGAAAAACCCAAACTTGGAACTGGAAATAAATATAGGAAATGGCACCTCTGTTTCACTGTTTCCTAGCAAGTCACTTCTGTAATGCCTTTTCTTTCTGTAGGGGAAGTAGAAAGTTGCAGACAGATTTGATCCAGATGCATTTCGGGAATCTTTCAAGACTTGATTAAAATTTATTATTTGTGGACACTCCTGTACTGAACCAGCATGCAAGACCCTTGAAAGCTAACCCTAAAGCAGCTGCAAACTGCAGTGCTGTCCTCAGAACAGATAAAACAAACTTACTGCCTTCAAGGCCTGAGCTCGTAGCTTTGCACAGCACAGCCCCAATACTGTGTGTGCAGTTTCACTGGTGGGCCTTGCACTTCCCCAAGGATGTATGGCATAATTCTGCATGGCCCCATGCAAGCATTAGGCCACCAGAAATCCCTCCTAATTGGTCATTTCCCTTCTCTCTTTCTTACTTAACCCAAATCTCATATCTGCTCCAAAAATTTATGTGTTTTTTTTAATGTAAATGAGTTAGTACCATAGAAAAAGAATGAGAACTACTCCCACAGTGTGTTAGGACCTACTGCCAGTGAGAATGAAAAGCTCAACAGTTGCACCATGCTTCTGGACAATAACCTACGGTTAAATAGTGAGCATACCAGACCAGTGGAGAGAATTTACTGCAGATCTATACCTATGTCCCAAGGTATGGAATCTTCTCTGCTACCCTAAATAATGAATAATGAACAGTCATTTTGGTAAAGTGCTTCAATCTTCCTCCAAAAAAGATATGAAAATATAAGTTTTGGAAACATCTCCTTCTTTAAGAAGCAGATCTTCTTGTTTCCTTGCTACAATAGCACTTGTATACAGTAAGCACTGTGTTTCTACCTCCATTTACTTTCTAGATAGATTAGATCAATAACAATACATCCGGATATAGAGAAAAATGCAACAATTTAAATTCTATGAAAGTTCTGTGAAAGCCTTTGGCTACAAGGAACACTACCAAAACAGAAACTTCTGAATAATAATTTAACAAGAATCAAAAGAGCAGATTCATAGCAAAGACAGGACATAATTGCTACAGTATATTTTCACAGGGAGGCAAATCTGCAGAATGGTTATTGACACTGACACACAACACATTCTGCAGTGGGCAGAAAGTGTTCTGCACGTTCTGCAGGTACACAGCACACCCAAACCTCCGTCCTCCAGCAGAAATTAAAAACACAGGTAATGTTCTACGACATCTGAGACAGAAGTCCAGATTTTGAAAATCAATATCCTGACTCAAAGAATGAAAATGTGGATGAACCCATTTACTAACAGACTTGAGGGGTTTTTTTGTGTGTTGTTTTTTTTGGGTTTTTTTTTTTTACATTTTTTCCCTTCTTCTTAGCTGTCCCTTGACTACCCAAAAGTAACTTTGGTATTGAGTAGCACAAATTCTACTCCTCTTTGCTTTATTACAAGTACATGAAAATATACTGTGGCATTTAACATGCTGTACGGGTGACTGAAACAGTGACAACAGCAGCAGCAAAAAAAAAAATGCTGAAAGCACAAGCACCCTGGCCAGTCCTTATTCATATAGGCAAAAACTGAGCTAACTACATAAGGCATGCTCCAAAAACCTAAGAGGTCACCTGGCGCTCACAGGGATGGCTGCTGCTTTCGGAGCTCTTATTCCAACATCCTGAGGGAGAAAGAGGGAGTGGGGAGAATGGGCACCAATGGAGAAAAGAAAAGCTTTATAAACTGTACCCTTGCTGTCAAAAAGACTTCAGAGCCAGCTGCCATCTTGACATGAGGTTGCAATTCCTGCTACTGTACCTTTTTAGACATAGGGAACATGCTTAGTGAATTGGTCCCTCACTTGTTTTCAAGATTAAATTTAAAATGTTAGGGGGGGGGTGTTCATTTGATTGACTGTTTTTTATAAAGAAACACCTCAGCTAGCTCCAAACATGTCTTTTTCTGATTCTGGAGACTGGGGCCTTGATATTTCAAACAACTCCTGTGGTGACTGGGAGCTTCTTCTTGAGGTCAATATCCTAAGTATCTCAGCGAGCTGTTTTTCTATATTGGTCATTTTTGTGTTTAAAGCCTTGATGTCCTCTTTCAATTCGTGTTTCACTTCTAGCATGGTAGCCTGAAGAGTCTGTTCTGGGATAGGATAAAAGGAATGCTTGACCTCGGTGAGGACCGGGCTGCGGTCCTGTGGGCTTCTTGTCTCCCCAACGTTATCCAAGCGCAAGTCACTTTTTGTAATGCCACTGTCACAAGAGTCTGTCTTCTTCAGGGTAGCTTCTCCTGAAGCTTTAGTTCTCTCTGGTAACGTCTCCATAGATTCTGCTTTAGAGACTTTATTCCAGTCTTCACCTTTCCCACAGGCGTCTTTGAATTTGGCCCAGCCTTTTCTCCGGGGGTAATCCCCTGATGCTTTACATCCTGTGTACTCTGACGCGGGGGCCTGAAGCTTCGCCTGGTCAGAAGTCCCAGAGGTTGAAGCTGACTGATATGACACAGGGGTTGCAGGGCTCTCCCGTACGGTCACAACGCTGGCTTTGACCACTGAGCGTGCGGAGGAGTGCTCGCCTAGGATGTTGCCCTTCTCCACATCCAGGTCATCTGGATCTCTGCCTCTCTCAGCTGCAAGCCGTGCCTCCTTCTGCTGCCTGAACCTCTGAAACAGTCGGCGGACAGGGTGATCTGGTGGCAAAATCAGGGGGGCTTCATTCTTCCTTTTCATTCTCTCCTCTTCTTCTCGTTTCACATCGCTGATTTTCCGGAATACAATCTACACAGGGAAAGAGATTTCAACGCTGTCATTAACTGCAAGTTTGTTAAGGAGAGGAGTTGTAGAGAAATAATTATTTGAAAGATTTTATTACTACTGACAAATGAATAACCTCTGCGCATTTATAGCAACATTACCACAGTTCTCAAGTGTCTTATTTTGTGAACGTGGCTTTGTTCATTATTTAAAAGCATACATCATCTGTCTTACAACATCAGAAAGAAAAAGCTCTTCAGTTCCAAGAAGCCAGCAAGGCAGTGCCATTCTAAATGCAACGATCCCAGGAACTTACTTGCTCTGTTTTGTGTCATAAATGACTTCTTATATTTGTTTTTCTGAGTCTACGTTTGACCATCAATTTTCTAGAGTTACAAAGACTCTCTTCCAATCTTACAGCAGCCTCATCCCAGAGCTCACTTGCTATACATCACACAAAAGTTCTGATATTTTAAGGACGCTTGGCCAGTAATAGAGTGAGCACAGCAGAGATGAGTCTGGACTCTCCAAGCAGCAGTCTGCAAATTACTTCTTGTACAGTCCCTCCCACACTCTCTTCTAGAAGCAACGTGCAGATTAGAAACAATGCAAAACTCAAGTTAGTCCCAGTGCTACAAGGACAATGAAGAATGAGCTCTGAGAGATGAGGAAAAGCTATCCATGGCTGATGACTACAGCAGCTTGAAGAGCTTCTCATTTTATTTTTTTCATTTTTATGTGAAAATACACTTTTTTGCAGGAAGAAACATTAATTTTCTGTCTGTTCTCCTAACCAAGCCTTCCTGAACCTGTGAGCTAAGCAGTCTAAGAGAGCAGCCTAGGGGCCTTCAGTACTGATTTTTATATTTATATTATTACTGGTGGAATGCTGAAGGTGATCCACTAAGCAATTTGTTTTGAGGCTTCAATGCAGAGCATAAAAGATGTAGACCCCAGCTTCCACAGAACACTGTCACCTGATGTCTTCAGTTGCCTTTGGGAAAACCTACTCTAAATCCTTATGCTCCAGAAATAACTTTCTGATTCAAATCATTACTAGTAAATGTGTAAACAAACCCACCCCTCCAGTGCAGAGAGATTTAAATTAAAACAAACATAATAAGCACTGATTCACTGGCACACACACACAGCGCATGTTGCTTCTGACTTCAATGCTTCTTGACAGTTCTGTCATTGTGAAGCAGGGAAAAACACTATCTTAACATTGTGTCTTCAGGAAGAAGTTGTCAGACTTGGCAGCATTACCCAGATGCAAAAGAATAAAATTAGCACAAATGATATTTTATTTCCAAGCTGCAATTAGGAAGCTAAATGTAAGATGAGTAAAATGAGTGTTTGACCGTACTACTTTTTTTCCAGGAAACTTAGTCTGCAGCAGGCTCAGTATAAGGTGGACAAAGCATAATCCTCAGTAGTGAAAGAATAACACTTACGGGAATGGAGTATCAGTACAGTGATCCAGGATAATGGCTTCCCACATGCTGGCAGTTCTCACTTTAAGTGAAGGAACAGTGCCAGCCCGAAGCAAGAGCAGCTGCCCTGCATGCACTGCTGGAGCCTTGCTGTGTTGGGGGTCAGTCTTGCAGCAGGCCTAGGCTGGCTCTGGCTGCACTAAGCTCCAGCAAAGCAAGGCAGCTATAAACCAGATCAATTTGTCTCTGCAAACTTCTGCATCCCCAAGCACACCCTCTGCTGGAGCTTGCGTGCTTGGTGCTGCTGTGGACATCTATGACCTGCACGGTGCCATGCCAGGCAGACGCGCAGTTAGCAGGGCCACCATCTCTTTGCCCATGAGCATGTTTCTGCATGTGAGCAGTCTCAGTCTGACCTATGGATCTGGTCCATGTTTTCCCTCAGTGCTCAGAAGAGACGTACAAATGGGTGCTGCAATTGTCACCATTACAGAGTCACCAGGAACAGCACCGTGGTGCTTGAAAGAGCTGAAGGCCAGACTGCTTCATAGAGTCCTTGTCCAGTTCAAGTCCTGCTCAATGCAGTCTGCTCAGCATTTTGTCTTCTAAGCACTGGATTATCTCTGACCTTTTAGTTATTGGCTTTTCTAACATAAATGAAGGTGTTATTTGACAGAAGCTGCCCCCACTACTGCCCAATATAGATGAGAAGGCAATGGAGGAAGTTACAGGCAATAACTGCTTAACTCATACTAGCCACTGTGTCCCATACAGCCCATGGCACAGGCTCCATGCTGGAGTACAAGCAAAGCAGATATATCAGCAAACACAAAAAGGCAAACACTGAGATGTATTGTTGGCAGTTCTCATCATCCTCACAGGCACTGCTGCTTCCTGCTACACTGCCTAGGTGAGGCCTGTTGGTTCCAAGCATGGCTGGGTGTGCCACCAGCCTCCTCACTGAGGGGTGCTCTGCCTCACGGCCCCGAGCATGCCCACTCCTTTCCTGCAGACCAGGCTGCATCACAGACAGGAGCCTACGTGGAGGGATCAAGTACATAAAATATTGCAGTTATCTTGGTCTCCTCACTAGCATGCGAAGGAGGCATGCATTTTCCATTTTACGTGAGGCTTTATACCAGCCACAAGGCAGTATCACACAGCAACAATCACCTGCATGAATGCAGAAATGCAGTCCTCACATCTCTTGTCCTGTTCAACATATCTACTTATGTGACAAATTGCGCTCATGCAGTGCAAATTGAAGCTTGTGTACATTTGCTAGGGAACACAGCCTCCAACTCTGGGGTTGGCTGCTTTACCAAACTCATAAGACACCACAGAAATACCTGCCAGACTGCAACCTGTCTTTGGGAAGCCCAGGAAAAGCTGTCACTGGTCCCATTTTTGGCAAGCTCCTCAGCACTACGTTTTCTGAAGATAGCTCCATGTTATGTATGGAGCAAAGGTTTTATAACCATGCAAAGATCAGCAGTAATTGAAAAGACCTTTTCTACAACTGCATTTTGGATTTTTGTTGCTGCTATCTCTTTTAAGGCTAAATACAAATCCTGACACATAAAAAATACAAATAACTACTTTAAAGGGATACTTTTCTTAAAATTGTTGGGGAAAAAGCAATCTGTAAGTGATAAAAGATTTGGAAGCATCCAAGATATGCAGAAAATGTGTTTGTTATGCTGACATATATATACCTGCTCCCACAACGAGCCCAAGTGCAAAGGAAATGAAAACAGTTTTCATTTGTTACGAGAAAGAGAAGTATGGACCTACACAGTAGTTTTAATGTAGAATTTGATAGGGCTATAAACTGAGGTTAAATCCCCAAATATGCCCAAGCTCCTAAGACAACTTTTAGTTCAATTTCTCTTCAATCAATCTTTCCAAGCATTAATTTTTTTCTGGGAAGGAAGAATGTAGAGGTTGTACCCTCAGAATTTCCCAAGCTGCATTAAACTCCAACCAGTGCGAAAAGGTCAACTTTGCAAACTGTGCACTTCTCCATAACATCATCATCTGCAAGAGCAAAGCATGCAGAACAGTGCGAGCATTTTAGAAGTATGCAAAACCCTAACTGTGTTAGAAGAGCCTGAACTGAGATGAAGTAACAAGAAATACAAACACTAGGCATAAAAGCGCACCCAACACACTTCCATTCTCAAGTCTTTGATTAAAAGGTGCTGAATCTTTTAGCTCTACAGGAAGGCCTCCCAGGATGCCAGAAACATGAGTACTGGGGGGATATTAGCCTAGATTTGCATAATAATAATAATAGTACAGAAAATAGCTCTGTTAGGCACAGAATACTGCAAATGCCTCATAAACATTTGACTGAGGTATAACTGAGGCAGTTATGGTGACACTGTAACAATTTTATTTTTGGATAATACAATCAGAGAAATGGAGAAATGCACTGATACCTACTAGCACATCCACGCCCCCATATGTGCCATTGATCCATGACAGCATAGACTGTGTAGCTGCATTCCTGCCTGTGCATGAGCAGTGTCTGAGGAAGAAAGACAGGATTACATCCAGCAAATCTTCCTTTCCTCAGTATATGCGCTGAACTCTTCAGTAAGCTTGGGGGCAAAGTTCTGTCTCTTTTTATCTTCAAAGAGTTCTCAGGCTGTATGCATAGAATCAATGCTTTTAGAGTTTAAGGTCAATATTTATCCTCAAAGTATTTAAAAAAAGAAAAAAAGGTGAATGTAGATGAATACCTGCACTATCTCTTTGGTTATCAAATGTAGAATGCCCATCAACTATCAGAAGAGGAGGCTCAGGGGAGACCTCATCGCTCTCTACAACTGCCTGAAAAGAGGTTGTGGCAAGGTGGGGGTCGGCCTCTTCTCCCAGGTAACAGCAACAGGATGAGAAGGAATGGCCTCAAGTTGCACCAGGGGAGGTTCAGTTTGGATATTAGGAAACACTTCTTTTCAAAAAGATTGGCAATGCATTGGAACAGGCTGCATAGGGAGGTGGCAGAGTCACTGTCCCTGGAAGTGTTCAAGAAACATGTAGACGTGGCACTGAGGGACATGGTCAGCAAGCACGGTGGGGATGGGTTCAGGTTGGACTACGTGATGTTAGTGGTCTTTTCCAGCCTTAATGATTCCATGATTCTATTATTTAGATCTTCCTGGGCTCAGCACTCAAACCCAAGGCCCAGTTAAATAACTCAGCAGGGGTATTTTGCATTAATAAGATTTTCTTAATTTCTTTATGGTAAGACTAGAAGAAAAGCCTGCAGTGGCTTCCAGTGTAGGGCAGGCAACAAGTTTGCTCTGAAGGGAGATTCCCAAAGAGAATCTTGCAACAACTAGATTATTTCTTGTAGAAAAACATCCTATTTGGCAGCAATAGAGAATCCATCATCACATCTTGATAAAAGATCCCTACAGGTTTTGCTTCAAGGCTGAGATTATCTGACGTCAGCGGCAATTCTGTTCCTTCATCCCTCACACTGTTGAACATTTACTTTTAGAAACTAATTCTAGAGTCTTATGTTCAAAAATCTCTGCAGAGGTAGTACAGCTAATGTACCATTGTTTTAAATTTTCAATGTAA